CAGTAGCCCACTCCTGCCTCCTTTCTTGTATAAGAGCAGGCACCACACATTCTTATTCTGGTCATATTTTCAATCGCTTTTATTTATTTTTTAAGTAGATCGCCTCTGGATGGGCTCCAAGAGCATGAACTGTACCACTCAGGGACTGCTCATAAACCAATTGCTTGCCCATTCTATCACTGAATCCTTAAAGCAATCAAATAAGGCAGTGTCTTAGTTCCCTAGTTCTGCAGTAACACAAAAGAACAGGGATGTCTTGTCGCTCAGTTTGGGAGCATAGGAATTTAAATGGAGGGTGTGGAAAGGGCTATTATCTCTCTTCTTATGGACTTTAAATATATCTTTGTCTCTTTTTCTTTCTATTGCCCCAGGCATTTCTTGGTTTTCCTTGGCTGCACGAGGTTATACCTTCCTATTTGTCATCTCCCAAGTGTGAGTCTGTTTATGTTGCTCTCTTTATAGGACACTGCTCAGCAGGGATTCAATATCGGACTGTTCCTTAGGCACACCTTCATTAACATGACAAAAGAAAACTCCCTTTTCTAAGCAGGGCCACAACCACCTGTATAGAGGTTAGGGCTTTAACATGTTTCAGATGGGAGGGCACACTTCCATCTACAACAAGCAAGCATTGTTAGTACCCCAGCATTATAGATGAGGGAACTGAGAATTCAGGAGCTAAGGAACTTGATTATAGTCTCACAGCTAATGAGGAGCTGAACTAGGATTTGATTCTATAGTGCGAGGCGTTGAAGCTAAGTCATTGTATAGCACCTTCTTCCAGAGAAAGGGGAATCTAAATATCCACTCTGTTCGAGATTTTCTTCTCTGCAATACTCTCTGTATGAATTCAGTGACAGAGAGCTTGCTACTTCCCTAGATAACCGATTCCAGTTTCAGATGTTGAAATGCGAGTAATTTATATTCTGCCAGCCATTATACACACTCATAATGTGTATTCCATAAGTATGTGTGGGCACCTACTGCCTGTAAGGCAGTGGCATAGTGCTCAGCGCAGTACCTTATCTGTCTTCTGCATATGAGGCAGGGGAAGCACAGGGAGACTGTGGCACCCTAGAGACACACAGAATCAGAATTAGTAACAACAGCTAAGTATTTCTTCAGTGCTTAGTATGTGCACATACTAAGTGATGGGGTCAGCTGCTAACTGAAAGGTGAGGGTTCGAGTCCACCCAGAAGTGCCTTGGAAGAAAGCCCAGAAGGCTGACTGAGAAATCAGTCATTGGAAATCCCACGGCACACAGCTTCACTCCGACCCATGGGTATTGTCCTGAGCCAGAATCAACCTGAAGGCAACTGGTTTTTCACTGGCTTGTGCCAGGCATTGTGCTATGGGTATTCACAGTCCTGGGGGTCTTGAGTAATCCTGTCTTTTGACTCCAGTAATATTCCAGTAATATTCTTCCCACTGGATTCCCCACTTCCTAGTCCGATGTTTGCTGCCTTGTGTGGAACTGATGGTTTCCTGACTGAGTTTGGCTTTGGGAGGTTCTGTGAGTGATGTGATTCCTGGAGAAAGGAGAGGGCAGCTGGAAGCAGAGAACGTGACTGTCCACTCAACCCCAGCTCATCGTCCCTGCCGCTGGGTGGGGAGCTTCTTTCTGACAGTTCAATGGATGGGCCCGTGAGTACTATCTCATTGTCTATAAATAAGTGAGCCAGGTGAGCACCACACACGCTGCTCCAGACCTTACTTTGTCCCCTTTCTTGCTCCCACTGCCTGCCACTGCACTGGCCTCAGGATGTAAAGCTTCACACTTCCCGTCAGCCAGACTCTGCCAAACTCCTTAGGTCCCTCTGTGAGGGGCTTCTACTATCTTTCTGTGCTTTCTGGGATTCACCAATTGCCTACACAGCATTCTAGTTGACTCAGCATGGCAAGGTGGTTAAAAACATGGACCTCAGAATCAGCCACATGTGAGCTCCATTCCCAGTGCTGCCACTTCTTGACTTTGTGACCACAGGCAAATTACTAAACTTTCTTCTGATTCTCAATCTCATCTAGAGTATGTACAATGTGTATGTATGATGAAAGTGGCGTGTGTCCTGGGATTTATATGCTGGTTGGGAAGGCAGACAATAAACAAAGCAGTCCCTGATGTAAGAGTGTGGTCTGTGAAGATGAGTAGCGGGGCCAATACAAAGCAGAGTAATATGATGCAGGGTGGGTTGAGTCTGATGGGGTGACACGCACTGGCCCCAAAGTCTGTTTTTGGTACTCCTTCAGAACTTCCTTGCTCTGTTCCCCTTGCTGTTCTGTTGCACATCCTTAGTGGTTTGCCTTGATTTGGTGGGGTCAGATCAGGTGCAATTCCCACCCTGTGTCTCTAGTGTTGTTCCCTGTAGGGTTTTGGGTCAGTGACGGGATGTAGTGTCTCATAGTAGGGCCGGCTCTATGGTCCTTTCTATGCATTGGCTGCTCTGAGCAGCAATATCGTCCTCAAGGCTTGGTGGACCAGGATGTGCTCCACTCTCTCTTCCGCCCCCTTCATTTGCTCCCCTGTGTTCTGATCAGACATGTCCCTCTCCCTAAGATATAGCTTCAGTGCTGTCCTCTGAAGAAGATTCTTCTGGGGCGAGGGGCGGCTATCCATGTAGCTGGGATTAGGGATTTACAAATTCTTATGAACACAATTAAAAGATCTCATTACCCAAGGACTGCCTGTTGTGAAGTTGTATGTGTCTTTCTCACTGCATTGGGTGTTGATTGGTCCCATTAATGAGGATATTAATTTTGTTCATTAAAGTGTAGCTATAGGTCTTTTATTGTAAAGTTACTATTTTTCCCCTTTGAAATCAATGAATATTTTGAGATGCAAATTCGGAAGTAGGCCAGATATCCTGTTTCTCTCTTTTTTAAAAAAAAAATCATTTTATCAGCGGCTTGTCCAGCTCTAATGACAATCCATCCATCCATCCATGTGTCAAGCCCATTTGTACATTTGTTGCCATCATCGTTCTCAAAACATTTACTTTCTACTTGAGCCTTTGGTATCAGCTCCTCATTTCCCCCCCTCCCTTCCTCACCCTCCCTCTTTCATGAACCCTTGATAATTTATATAAAAAAATTTCAAGTCTTACACCAATCGCAGTCTCCTTTCACCTATTTTTCTGTTGCCTGTCTCCCTGGGAGGGGATTATATGTAGATCATTGTGATTGGTTCCCCCTTTCTCCCCAAACCTCCCTCTTCCCCTCCTGGTATCCTACTCTCATTATTGGTCCTGAGGAGTTTATCTGTCCTGGATTCCCTGTGTTTCCAGTTCTTATCTGTACCCATGTACATGCTCTGTCTAGTCAGATTTGTAAGGTATAATTGGGGTCATGATCATGGGGGGGAATATTAAAGAACTAGAGGAAAGTTGTATGTTTCATCGGTGCTATACTGCACCTGACTGACTTGTCTCTTCCTTGTGACCTTTCTGTAAGGAGATGTCCAATTTTCTAGAGATGGGCTTTGGGTCTCCATTCTGCATTCCCCCTCATTCACACTGATATGATTTTTTGTTCTGGGTCTTTTTGTTGTTGTTGTTGTTGTTCTGGGTCTTTGATGCCTGATGCCTGATCCCATGAACACTTCATGATCACACAAGCTGGTGTGCTTCTTTCATTTGGGCTTTGTTGTTTCTAAGTTAGATGACCACTTGTTTATCTTCAAGCCTTAAGACCCCAGATCCTATATCTTTTGATAGCCGGACACCATTAGCTTTCTTTACCACATTTGCTTAAGCACCCATTTTGTCTTCAGCGATTGCGTTGGGAAGGTGAGCATCACGGAATGTCAGGTTATTAGAACAAAGCGTTCTTGAGTTGAAGGAGTACTTGAGTAGAGGCCCAATGTTTGTCCACTACCTTAATACTTAACATATAAATATAGGTACAAAGATCTATTTCCCTATCGTTACATATAATTATATTTATATATATATATACATGCCTGTATTTTGACCTCTATAAATGTCCTTTGTCTCCTAGTTCTTTCCTCTATTTCCTTTTACTTTCCTCTTCTACCACTATCATGTTTGATCTTCATTTCGGTTTCAGTAATTCCTCTTGGCTACATTGCCCCTGATCAAGCCCCACCAGACATCCTATGCCCTCCTTGCCATTGATTTTAGATCACTTGTTGCTCCCTTGTCCCTGGGTTTATTGACACCCCCTTCCTTTCCTCTGCCTTCCCCTCTTCCATGTTCCCCCGGAATCATCCATCCCATTGTTTTCTCCTACAGATTATGTATCCTGTCTGTCTTATCTAGATAGACAGGCAGAGACAATAATAAGCACAAGAACAAGACATAGCAAAACAGAACAACAACAAACTGGCAAAAAAAGAAAAGCCTATAAATAGCTTGTTTGTTGACCTTTAGGAGTAGTTTTGGGTTGAGTCTGATGGGATGCCACGCCCTGGCCCCAAAATCTATTTTTGGCATTCTGCAGGGACTTCCTTGCTTTGCTCCCCTTGCTGCTCTGCTGCATGCTTACCCCAACCCCCTTATTGTTTCTCCCTACTACACCATGGCTGATTTTAAGCTACCAATGTAATGTTCTGATTGTGGAGTTGGGAAGAGGGGCCTCCCAAAACAGGCTCTCATGATCTAGTAACCACTGGCTCCAACAACCCTCCAGTTATCCCTGAGTAACGATGTCTAACACTTATAAGCACTTAGTGTGATAGGCATTGTTATAATGTACTAACACAATAACTTAATGAGGTAGGAACCTTCCATACCCCCATTTTAAGGTCTACATACCTCACAAGAATTATGGCTCCTCTTACAGACCTATCTATTGATTGACTGAACATTGAGTGATGGGGTGAGGTCAGTTCCAGAGCTGAAGATCGATCCCATTAGTTCTTCTTTTTCCTTCAAACCATTTTTTGAGAACATAACCCAGGCATCATACCATTCAATAGTTCAGCCACATCAAGCAGTGTTGTACAATCACTATTACAATCATTTCAAAACATTTTCTTCCTTCTAAGAATATGGAAGGCTTCATGAGTTGGCGTGTCATCCTTGTGCAGAAGTCAGGCTAATCTTCTCTGTATCGTTCCAGTTTTAGTACATCTGCTGCCTGAGTGAGCACTACTATCCGTTTCTATCCAACCAGTCAGCCTGATCTTTCTCATGATTTGGGGTTTGTTCCACACTTTTCTCCTACTCTATGTAAAATCCTCTGATATGAAGCCTTTCCAAGTGGCTACACATGGCTATTTTAAAGAAGAAACGTGCACGCTCTGACACTTCAGCGAGGTGCCCAAGGTCATGCAACGAGGAAATGAGGGCACTCAGATGAAGCTCAGGGAATCTGACTCCTGGGTCCTTTCACTTCATTAACTTTAAAAATCGTTTTCAATGAGTATTTTATTGTATTTTTCGTGACGGTATATCATGAGGTTTTCTAGTTCAACAATTTCCATACATAATGACGTGGCTATATCTTTCGGTTTTTGTTGACATTCTCAGGATTCCCACTCTAGTTGAACTATTCTGAATTTGGTTTTGCTGGCATCCAATTTTCCCTTCTATGCTTTAGAGTAACTCTTCGGTCTCAAATGAGTAATTTTTTAAAAGCACGTTTCTCAAGATGGTATTCTTTAGCTTTCAGACTATCCTGTGATTTATTTAATCCTTTTGTGACCCTTGGAATATAGAGTTCCCACCAAGATTTTCTGCCTCTGGGATTTAGTGGGAGCCTGTTACCCCACATTTAGTGTGTGTCACCATCTTGTTGTCGGGGGCATTGTATAGCTGTGTTAACCTGAAGAATTGAGCCCCAACCCATGAAACTCAGCGCCAGAGACCTCTGTGGACATATGTGTTCTACTAATTACATCAAAATTCATAGTACTTAAAACAAATATTTTTCATTTCTCTCAAAAAGTTTCCCATTACTGAAATTCACATGGCTTCAACAACAACAAAATAAATCAAAGCAACAAATAATTTGATCTTAAGAGGTAATGTTAGGGGATAGTTTCTGCCAAGATTTGAAGAATATCCACCTTCCCAACACGATCGCTGAAGACAAAATGGGTGCATAAGCAAATGTGATGAAGAAAGCAGACGGTGCCCGGCTATTAAAAGATATAGTCCCTGGGGTCTGAAAGGCTGCATTGGGGTAGGTCCATGTGGCTTCTCCTCAGGGATGTGTTGCAGGAAGTGAGCCTTTCCAGTTGAAGCAGGAACTGGCTAAGGCAGCTGTACCCTAGTCTGACCATCACAAAGCAAGAGACCCGAGAACTAGAAAGGCGAGGTTCACTGAGCCATTTATCCCTCCACCTTTCAATTAACTCCACATGTGTTTATTGGCCAGGTTGGCACAATAAACTAACTACCTCACCATTCATCCAGCAATGGGCACTTAGTTTGTTTCCATCTTTTGGCTATTGTGAACAATGCTGCAAGGAACACAGGTCTGCCTATGTTTGCCTTTGTCACTACCCTGGGGCGTAGTCATAAAAGTGGCATTGGTGAGTCACGTGGTAGATCTATTTTGAAAGTTTTGAGGACTCACCTTTCTGTTTTCCACAGCAGTTATACCAGCTTAACATTTCCAAGAGCAAAGCATAAGGGTTCCAATCTCTCCTCATTTCCTCCACAATATGTGTTGCTTTCTGAGTTTTTTGGTAATTTTTGTTGTTGTTATTGTCATTACCAATGCCACTTTATCAGTGGTGAGGGCGTATCCCATTATAGTTTTGATTTTCAGCTTTGTAGTGGATAATGAGATCGCTGGCGGCATAGTTTGTACGTGCTGAGTCACAAAGCAGAAGTCAGCTTTTGAAGCCACCAGCCGCTCTGAGGGAGAAAGAGGTGCCCTGGGCGTCTATGAAAACTGCAGCCCCTTGAAGTCAAGCCAGTGCCGCCCGACAGGGAAGCAACAAGCCCACACGGAAGAAGCACCAGCCGGTGTGATCCTGAGGTGTCATCGAGACTGGGCAACAGGCATAAGAAGATTCACAACTAACAGTAAACAAACAAACAGACACGCATTGGTGAGAATGGAGGGGGGGTCGGAGCGGAGACCCAAAGCCCAACTATGGACAGTGGAACTTCCCCCACAGAGGGGTCAGAGGGTAGGGTGAGTCAATCAGGATGCAATAGAGCGCTAATGGCTCACGCAATATACCTCTGTTCCCTGGAGGCCTCCTCACCCCCCGCTATCACGACCTCAATCTAGACTAGACGGGGGCACGTACATAGGTACAGGCAAGAGATAGAACTCACCACACATGGAACCAGGCACAGGAATGGGAATAGAGATACGGAAAGGGCAGGGGGAAGTGGGGGAGAGGTGGGAAGAAGGGGGCCACCGAACGCAATGAATGGCACATAACCACACCCCCCAGCCAGGGGGAAGAACAGAAACCAGAGGGGAAGGGCGACAGCGGTCAGAGTGAGATTTTAAAATAATTAACAATCTACAATCTGTCAGAGAGCCATGAGGGCTAAGGAGGTTGGGGAGGAGGGAGGGAAATAAAAAGTGGAGCTGATCCCAAGGGCTCAATGGAAAGTAAATGTCTAGAAAAGAACGATGGAATATATGTACAAATATGTCAGATACAATTGATGTATGGTTTGTAACAAGAGTTGTAAGAGCCCCCAATAAGATGATTTTTGAAAAGAAACAAAGAAAACTGCAGCCTTGGAAACGCCCTGTCCTATGAGCTCACTATAAGTTGGAATCAACTTGATGGTAACAACAGGCAATAGCAGTACCCAACTTTTCATGTGTTCACTCGTTGCTCTTTGTGGCAGTTCATTGACTTTAAACTTTTTTCTACTATTTAAATAAAAAAAAGGTCATTGAAGTATGACTCACATACAATAAATGGAACAAATCCCGATGAACTTGGACATAAGCACGCATGTACGCCACTAGATCAAGATATAGATGCTTCAAGTCCTGAGCCAAATCCTTATGCCCCTCCCTTTGGTGCCCACTGGAGGGTAGCCACCTTCCCGATTCTTATCAACATAGATTTATTTTGTCTGTGGTTGGACTTTGTGTCCATGGCATGAGAGAGTACATAATTTGAGTGTGGCTTCTTTCTCTTCAGTCAAATGTCTGTGAGACCCATACATGCCAGAGCATGTAACACAGGCTGGCTCTTCTCCATTGTTGGGTAGCATTTCATCGGATGACTCCACCACAGTGTATTTACAGTGCAGCATGCATGTGATCACTAGGCTATACTGCCATTCAAGTGGGGAGGAAGCTCTCTGTGTCTTCTTGTCCCTGGGGTTTGTTTCCTTAGCATGGCAGGGTGGGGGAGTGGTATCCCTGGATGTATTTGTCTCCAATTGCTGTTGTAACAAAGTACCACACATGTAGTGGTGCACCGCTCACGCTTACAATTACTTTACAGTTCTGCAGGTCAGAGTTCTCAAAACATGGAGGTGCAAGGGGGAGAAGGAGAGATGGGGGCAGACACAAGGGAAAAGGATTTGGCAGCTTCTGGAGGTTGGAAAAGGCAAACCGAGCGATTTCCTTAGAGTGATCCTCTTATAAGGACTCTTGGACCCACCTATTTAATTCTGGGTAATCCCCCTCATCTCAAAATCCATAAATCAATCATATCTGCAAAGTCCCTTTTGCCACGTAAGGTAATATATTCATAGGTTCTGGGGATTAGAGTGTGGACATCTGTAGAGGACGAAAGGGAGGCAGCGGTGATAACACGTTTCATGCAGGGAGGTTTATTCTCGGGCTGTGGAGCCTTCTACTGAGTAAAGAACCTGCATGTAATGAAAAGAGTCCTGGGGTGGGAATCAGGGGACCCAGCTCCTAGTCTGGGCCCTACACTGCTTCACTGCAGGGCTTCTGCCCATCTTTTGCCTCTCTGGGCTTTGTGTGAATTTATGATCAAGGGCTGGGCCAAATGGTCCCTCCCTGGAGTCTTTTCTTGTCTCTAATGTGATTCTCCAGACGGTGCTTTCCGTTTGGGGGGCTCGTCCAGCTGCATTTTACTTCTGTATTTACCGTCCCTTCCTCCTCCCCACTGCAAGCATAGCTTCTGAGGACCAGTGGCTTTGGGAGGCCTGCAGAGATCCCTACACTGTCCTTGCCCCTCCTCCTCCTTTCTGTCACCCGCCTCTGGGCCTTTCATCCAGAAGGACTTTGAAACCCTGCTATTGATTTCCCGGTCACCTCAGGTCACACTCTCCCACTCTCCATCTTCCTTTAAGTGGAAGTTTGAAAATCCAATTTGAAATATATATATATAATTGCCCACGTGATTTCAAGGCCTGGGCTGGTACAGTCGTTCTTCCAAGAGGCTGAACATAAAGTGCTTGGGGAGAAGTAATAGAGACACCTTAATTACTCATTTCTGATAAGGGCTGATCTGCAGTGTCATTTGCATTTGATGGCTGTTCAAGACACAGGCTTCCAGCAGCTACTGGAAAGAGAAAGTGGAAAACCAAATGGTGTTCTTTCTCACCAAACAGGAAACCTGCTTTCTTAGAAAATGCACCAGCAGTGTGCGGACCTCCATATTTTCCGTAAGTAAAGTTGTTGGTCTTTCCCAGCTGACATCGCACGGCTGGCCCCCTCTTCACCTGTTCTCTCATTGATATGACCACTTATTAACACCCGATTTTCAGAACCGCACAGTGGTTAGAGGATGTGCTTTGAAGTCAGGCAGCTACTCTTTCAGTAAGTGCTTACTGGGTGCCTACTGGGTGTTCAGCCCTGCGCCAGACCTAGAGGACTACGAAAAACAGATGAGGGCCCTGTTTATATGGGTGGAGGAGACAGAGAGGAAATAAATATTCCCCAACAACACAGAATGACAAACTGTGGTAAATGCCATGAAGAAAAGTTGGGGAAGCTGTGAAAGCTTACATTAATACAGAGTATGACCTAGTTCGAGGATGAGGACAGGCCGCCCTGAGGGCAAACGTAGGAGCTGGGGCTGCAGTGTGAACTGTAAAGTGCAAGGCTGGCAGAGGAAATTCAGCTAGAAGCCTTGAGGCAGGAGAAAGGGGGCAATTTGGAGAAATTCAGAGGGCGAAGGAAGGTGGGGGGGGGGCAGTTTTGAATGTCTTAGTTCTGCAGTTCAGTCCATGGGAGCCCTGGTA